CCGTTACAGCGGAGGTGGAATCCCTAGGATGTGATGACAGGGCCACCGTCGGCGGCACCACCACCGGTGACGGCGGCGTCAGGCCAAGGATGTCGTACACCTCCTGTTCGCTGCTGACGAGTGCCGCTAACCGGCCCTCCAGCTGTTGTACGACAGTGTCTAGCACGCGCAACTCCGAAGCCGCGTCATACGGCTGTAGCAGCTCCGTAATTGCCGGCAAGCGGGCGAGGAGCTTCGCCGTTGTGGCAGTAGCAGTACCTGTCCGTGCCTCCGCCGTCTCCGCCTCCGCCGCCTCGCCCGGCGCTTCCGGCAGGTCTGTTCCTGTGTACGGCAGCTGCCTCGCTCCGCCGGTTTCATCGGTTAACGCCTCCGCTGCCGCCCAGTAGAGCCTGAGCCCCGAGGACAGTGCGACACGAGTCACCTGGGGCGGCGGGTGTGGGGTTGTGGGGTGGGAGTGGGGTGTGTGGGGGTGGGGGGATGGGGTGGGGGCCGAATGGGCAGCTAGGTGAGCGAGCGAGCGAGTGGTATCTGGGTGTACGGGTGTGAACCCTATGTAATGGAAAACAAATCCACCCAGGAAAGTACATACATACATACATACGCGTTATCCATCGGCGCACACACCCCACCCCACCCCTCCCCTCGCACCTGCAACAGCTGCTCAGGCAGGGGGTCCTCCAAGGTGAGCCGCAGCTCCGAAACCAAACCCGCCGCAGCCGCCACCAGCCGTCGCTGAACCACCTCCGCAGCCTCCTGAATCGCTACCCCCTCCTCCCCCTCCCCCCCAGCCACCCCCTGGCCGCCCGCAACGGCGCCCGACAACGCTGCGGCGGAGGCGCCGTCGGCACGTTGGGAGGCGCCGCCACAGCCGCCGGCCCCGGCCAGCAGCGTCAGGGAGACGTAATCGTGGGGGTTGGGCTGCAGTACAAAGCCGTACGCCAGTACTAACTCCTGGTTGTCCTTGGATCCGTAGTTGTTGCTCAGTACGGCACCCTGGTGGCGGCGGCCGTGTTGGTTGGTGCTCTAATCTGGTGATGGTGTTTTGCGGGTGTTGCGTGTGATGGGGTGGTGGTGAGGGGCGGCGCAGCGATTACAGGGGCCACGCGACACACACCGCATACCCCGCCTCCTCGTGTGTACGACAGTGTACGACATGTATGCTTTCGATCCTTAAAACTAACTCTGACTAGCCCCGACTCCGGCTCCGGCTATATACCACCCCGAGGGGATCCTCCCGCCGACCCCCCCCCGGCCCCTAACCCCCCACCTGCTCCAGGCGCTCCCTCCACAACCACACGAAGTCACCTCGGCCCCCACCGCCCGTGTACCACACAGCCTGACATCCCGCCGAATGATCTATCATATCAAGAACTGGGGGGGGGAGGGGGGAGGGGGGAGGGGGGAGGCGGAGCAGTAAGGAAAAAAACACGGAGACCGCGGAAGAGCGTGTATGTGTATGGATGATTTCAACTCTTTTAGTCGACAAAAGTGAAGCAGCCCTCATCCACCAGCCTGTCTGTCCGTCTGTCTGTCTGTAAGTACACCACCACTGGATGGCGGTACACCGGACGACGACGCTGGTCAGATCACGGACGTCCCCCACCATTACCAGGTGGGATGTGTGCGGGTGTACGTGTGTGTGTGTCTCAGGCGGCCGCAGGGGCAAGCAGCGGGGCGAGCTACATGCGCCGCCGGGACGCGAGGCGGCAAGGTGCAGGTGTGCACTGCCTGGGGGTGTGTGGAGACCGTGGGGGTTTCCCCATCCCAACCACTCTGAGCCTCCCTCGCCCGCCCCTCCCCCCCTCTCTCCCCCCCCATCTCTTCCCCCCCTCTCTCCCCCCCATCTCTTCCCCCCCTCTCTCCCCCCCAAGCACACAGACACACACATACGTCCACACCTGGCACCTGGCACACGTGCAGACGCCGGAGTTCGCTTTCCGCTGCTTCCGTCGCCTCCTCGCTCTCCCCCTCCATCTCCCCCTCCATCTCCCCCTCCACTGCCGCTCTGTACCTTCCGCAGCCGCCAGCATCGCCAGCTGTCCCCTCGCGACGCCTGCGGGTCCCACCTCCCCCTCCTGCTCGCTCTTCTCCTCCTCCACCACCTCCCCCTCCCCCTCTGCCCCCCCTCCCGTGTCCCCCTTGAAGACCTCGGACGGTGAAGGACCGCGACCACACAGAGGACCGAGCCCATCGGGCAGCTTCCGGACTAACCACCCAACCGCTCAGCAGAGGATCGAGGGAACTGTAGGGCCCACAAGAACCAGAGCCGCCGCTGGTGCCTGTCACAGAAACATCTGTATTGTTCGGCGGCTCCATCCCTCCCGAGTTCTGGATCTGGATCTGGGACTGGCTTTGAATTTGGATCTCACGGTGGATTTCGGCCAGGCGGCGCATGGCGGCGGACAGGTGCTGCAGTCCGGGGCGGTAGGCGGCCTCCGCCCGGGCGAGGCGGGTGCCGCGAAGCAACGCCAGGGAGGGCGCGTCCCACCAGGCTGGATCATCGTACGATGTCGGTAAGATGTCAATGTACGGCGCCCAGGCGGACGCGGGGCCGCGGGCTCGTTCCAAGATTAGCAGCATACATAGCAGGTCGCGGTCGCTGAGGCCGCCGCTGTCCCAGTACGAATGGGGTACGGCTGTCGTCGGTGGCGCTGCTGCCGCCGCTGCAGCGGTGTCGGGGCTGCCTACGGGAGGTGGTTTTGAGGGGACCGGGGCGGCTGCAGCGGTTGTTGCAGCAGTTGCCGCCAGTTCGGCGCGCAGGGCCCGGAAGGCTGGGCCATAGACGGGGTCAGAGAGGGCGGTACCGGCATGCATAAGGAGATGCTGGGGGAGGGTAATGATGGGCTCCAAAGGGGGGATGGACTCCGCGGCCAGGAAGCGGCGGGGGTCAGCGGGGTCCAGTGCGAGCTTTGGGGCCACGGCGCCGCGCTCTGCCGCCCAGCGCACCAGTCGGGCGAGCGGCTCGTGCGCAGGGCTTGGAGGTGACAGCACGCTTGGATGCAAGCATTTTTGTACAGTTTCGTCTGCTGAAGGCATGAGCTTGGGTTGGTGAGGCAAAGGGCTAAGCGTGCGGCAGCTGTCGACAGGTTACGAACGGCGAGTTGAGGCCGCCATCTCAATCCAAAGCCCCATTTTACTACTGACACGGCAAACCTATTGAGACAGTTACCCAAATTAGTGCTCTAGCAGCTCTATACGGTAAGGATTTAGCACTCCGCCGACTGCCGTACAGGAGTTTTGGTTTATGGGGATAACACAGGCTGCTGCTGGTGTAAGTCCACATTTCCAGATAGCACACACAGGTGCAGCGTTGATAATGTAAAAATGGTTGTGCGCCTCTTTGTTGGCGGTCTGCCGCACGACATTTCCGCCGCCGACTTGCGGTCCCGTTTCAGTCCTTTTGGTAAAGTTGAGACCATAGACATTATTTCTCCAAAAGATGATCAGGCTGGATTACCAGTTAAGGTCCGACATGAAGTCGCAGGATGTAGAGGTTTCGCGTACGTGGAGCTAGATCCAAAGGTAAGCCTTGCAGCATCTGCTTCCTTATATGCTTCACGTTGCGCCCACCCTGCACTTATGGGTGTTTGGCGCTTTTAAGCCGTCCTTCGTGTAAGGTACGCTCTACTCCCTTACGACAGGACGAAGGTTCCGTGCACAAGTGCCTGAGCGTGTACAACCACAGCAAGTGGAGAGGCAACATTCTTCGCGTCGAGATGGCAAGACCTAGCTACCTCGCCCGGTTGCATGTCGAATGGCAGGAGCAAGCGCGTCTGGAGGAGCAGCAACCACAGAACAAGCAGACCCAGCAGCAGCTCCCCCCTGATCCAACAACCCTCTTGTCAGGTCTAGCATCATCAACTGCTCGTGCCAAGCCGCCAGCGCTGCCGCCACAACGAACAACAGCACCAGCAGCACCAACACCTCGTCGCCCGCCGCCGCCAGCTGTGTCGGCCGCGTCGTTCGCTGCCGCAGCAGCAGCTGCTGACGCTGCAGCCGCCAAGCGCGCCAAGGCCGCGGCACGGTCCTCCCGTCAAACCGGCCCCGTGCCGCCGCCCGCGCCAGCCGACCTCTCCCAGCCGCTGCAGCTTCCCAACCCCCGCAACCGCCATCGCCCTATTCAGGTGGACCTGTCCCAACCCGCCAAGACCCCGCGGCGCTCCTTCCCCGCTATCCCCCCGGTGCCCTTGTCCCGCTTAGAGTGGCAGCGGGAGGAAGACTTTGGCGCACAGCTGTTGCCGTACGACGACGGCGCCAGTGATGGTGACGATGACAGTGGTGCCGACGGCGGTACAGTGCTGCGTTCCGCGTCTGCAGCTCTGCCGCCCAGGAAGCGCAGTCGCTATACCGACGACGGGTCATCATCTCTCACCCCTGGAGCAAACCGCGCTCGCGTCGCCGGTTCCGCCGCAGCGGCGGCCCCCAGCATACTGTACTTCCTGAATGAAGTCCTGGCGCAACCAATGAGGCCGTACGTGCCGTCGGCGGGTGCCGCCGCGGACCGGGAGCAATTGGCCGCTGGCGGGCTTGGCGGCGGTGGAGGTGCAACTCCGGCTACGGGTCGTGCAGGGGCCGTGCTTCGCGGCACGGCCGTACCGCCGCCGCGAAACATTGGACAGGCTCAGATGGTGGCGGAGGACGAAGAGGCAGCAGCGATGGTACGGCAGATGCCGGCGGAGGGAGTTGCAGCCAGGCGCACGAATGGCGGCGCCGCCGCTGATACTTCTACCGCTACTGCTGCTGCTACTGCTGCAGCCGTCTCTGGGCGTAAGGCGGCCGTTCCTGCAGCGGCTCCGGTCGCCAAGCGGGAGGTTCGCGGGGAAATGCTGTCCATGTTCAAGGTGCTTAAGGCCATTGACTCAGAGAGCCGCAAGAGATTCGCCGAAGAGGAGGCGGCGGCACGCGCTGCCGCGGCTGCTGCTGCTACAGCTGCTTCTGCGGGATCTAAGAAGACCATGAAGCGGCCGCCGCCGCAGCAGCAGCAGCACGTGCTGATAGGGATGCCGGGTCAGCAGTCGGGAGCTAGAGCTGAGGAGGCGGCAGGGGGAGTGGTGGACTTCCAAGCGGAAGAGGGAGGGGAGGGGGAGGAGGGCGCGGGTGCCGGCGGCGGAGCGGCGCAACAACAGCAGCAGCAGGAGCTTGCTCTTATGCTGGACAGATTTGGGGACTCTGATGACGACGGTGATGAAGGAAAGAAGCATACGGCGGAGGGGGGGATGAAGGAGCGGCACAAGGACGCCGCGGCGGAGGGTGGCCGGAAGAGCGGTGCTGGCGTGGGGGGGAGAGCTGTTCCCGACGAGGGGGAACCGGGCGGCAGTGACCGCCGCGGCCACGTCACCCCCCGGGCCGGGGAGCGGATGGCAGGTCGTGGGAGTGGCGGCGGCGGCGCCCGGGGAGTGGCGGCGGCGGCAGCGAGGGTGATATCAGAAGGTAGCGGGCGAACGGAAGTGCAGCCACAGCCGCCACAGCTACAGCCGCAGTCGCAACACAAGAAGCCGCAACAGCAGGGAGAGGTCGCTGCGGTGCCGCCGGGAGCCCTCCCGCAGCAGCAGCAGCAGCCGCTATCGGCCAGTCCCGTTGATGACGACGACGCTGATCAGGGGGTCACGAGGGCCAAACGGCCGCGGAAGCTGTTCGGGAGTGTGGTGGTGGGTAAGGGGGCAGTACGGGGCATAGCGGCTTCCAAGTCTGCCGTACGGCGGGTGAGTGGCGCTGACGTGGCGTTGGTACCCCGGAAACCCCCGAGTAAGAGCGGCGGCGGCGACGGTGGTGAGGACAGGGAGGCGACGGACCCACTCGCTAGGTTCGGTGGCGGCAGTGACGACGACGGCGACGGCGAAGAAGTTTTCCGGGACGTGGACGATTCGGAGGAGGTGGAGGGGCTGTTGGAAGCGGATGGGGAGGAAATCACGAGGGCCATGAAACAGGGCCGGGGAAGGAAGGGCTCCGGGGGTGTGCGGGCGGAGGGGCGGCTGGGTGGGTCCGCCACCACTGCCACTGCCACTGCCACGGGAAGCTCCGAGGACTCGGGGAGGCGGGCTGCTGTGGGTCCGGATCATCGTCCCGCGGTGGTGAGCTTCCTGAACGATGGCAGCGGCACCGTTAGTGATGGCAACGGAGGTGACGGGGATTCGCAAGTGAGGAGCATCAGAGTGGCGCGTGTCAGGGAGCTACTGGCGGCGGCAACGAATACAACGAATACTAGTGCTACAACAACAACAACAACAACAACAACAACAACAACAACAACAACATACTCTGAGGGGTAGGGGAGCCTCGGCGAGTAAGCGGCTTGAAGGTGGAGATGGAAATGGAGGTGGAGCCGGGTTGGAAGGGTGCCGTGGAGGGACGACGGCGGTGGCGGTGGCGGTACGGGACGGAGGCGGCGGCGGCGGCGGCAAGGGCGACGGCGGCATCCCTGAGGTGGCGGAGTTGGCTGCAGCGGGAAAGGGGCGGAGGGGCGCAGAGTCCGCACCTCCGTCGCTGGTGCGGCGGCCACCGGCGGTAACGGCGACGAGCGGTGCGCGATGGGGGGGACTAGTCCTCAAAACTCCGTGCTCTACATGCTCTCACAATATCCCCCTGTCTGTTCGAGCGGCGGAGAGGTTCAGAGACCACACAGCGGTCCCTCTCACGCCAGAATCTACCCCAAACCCCCCACCCCAAACCCCCCACCCCAAACCCCCCACCTCAAACCCCCACCCAACCCCACATCCCCACACACGGATGTTACGCTCGGCGGCAACCAATCATGTAAACCCGCCGCCCGCCCGAACAGGCCGTCGTGGTTCGCTTCTGGCCACCTCCTTTGTTCGCCCCGCGGTAGGCAGCGAGGAGGACCTCATGGCGGCGTGGAGGGAGAGCTTCGGGGGGCTCGCGGAGGGGCTGCGGGGCAGCGCGCGGGCGGCACACCGGGCAATACAGGGACGCAGGGGGCCAGGCGGAGGGGGGCGTCAGAGGCGCTAGGAGGCGGTGGCGTTAGCACGGTGCTCTCACGTCACGTGTTGTTAACGGGTAATCTGTAGCGGTGTAGATTTTGGGACCTTGTTTGGGGGGAAAGGGGAGGGGAGGGGGAGGGGCTTGCAGTTAACACAACCTTCATTAGGTTGGGGCCCGGTGCGTTGATGGGGCTTATGTTCGCTTATTTATGAATAATGCTTGCGTTATGAGCCTTTTGGATTGCTAGGCCTTATGATATCATTTACAACCAGCAAGGTGGTGACGGTGTTATAAGCTTGGGCTCGTCAGGCCTAGGCAATCTGAGCTCGATCACACCTGCAAAAGGAGCAAGACGGTTGCCTTACCAAGCAGCAACATGAAACAGGAGTCGAAACCCGGTTGTGGGGTTACCTCATTACGTGTTCATGGATGAGTTCAAATGCACGGCCCTGACGCAAAGATCCGGACATTGGGTTGCCCCACGCGATGTGTGTGCTCGTGATGACGCACACAACGGAACACACAGTGGCAGACCTTGATGTGACGCTTAACGGCCTCACGGCCGGAAATCTAGGTGTGCTGGTCTTAAAAGGTTATGAGCCCTGGCTGCAAGACAGACGGTCCGAGACATCCAAGTGCAAGAGAGTGTATGTATAATGTGTGGGACAGGGGGTCATAACTTTACCCTGAGGCCGCTACCCGGCAGATCCTGCCTTCCCCGGTATTTCAGGGCATCCTCATCTAGTCACCCTAGCCAACTTCTCAGTGGATCGCTCAGGTTCCATACCCACCACCGGGGAATTTGCAAGATCGACGGTGGCTGAACTCCATTCCTGTTCAGCTCAGACCCACGCTGCAAACGGACACGGCTCCAAAAACTCACAATCTGTTTGAAAACGTGGTAGTGTAGGGGTAGCCGTGATAATTTCTGCGAACAGGATGTGGTGCGCTGGTTTGGCAGCTCCCACCACTTGCCGCACGAACGACACCTGAAGCTTCAGCGCGTCATCATCTTTCAGACATGCCTCGAAGGCCCCCTCCACAAGGTTACTCGCATAACTCCGCCTCCTGAGTCTGTCCAAGACCTCAGCTAGCACAAAGGGTCCCCACACTTGACAGCAACGTACAACATCATTGCTCGTACCTGCGTATCAAACCATTTACATCTGTGGCAGCCGCAGCGCACCAGTACACCGTACTGGTGCGATTGCTAAGAAGGATGATCATATCCATAACATCATAATCCCACACGCTACAACAACCCCCAACCCACCCTGGAGCGCCTCCGTGACTTCATCCATTCCTGGTTGAACAACATGCATGTCATCACACCACGCACAGAGTACCGCACTCAGCAACCCGCATCGCACTCAGTTGAGCAGATGATGTGATGCAGCTTGGATTTCGAAGCCTGTACCGTGCTTGTGATGTAAGTGTGTATGTCGGCAGTGGAGGATCAATGATGCAGCACTTATTGCCGCAATGGCCGGCCGGCGGGGGGCTACTGTGTTCTTCGGTAATGTTGTGGTCCGAGGGAGCAGCCGAGGGTTTAGCGGAATCTTCTGATGAAGCATTCAGGTTCTGTTGGCTTTCAGGCGGGGGGAGCTTGTTCCAGTTCGCAAATGTAGTCCGAGTGCATGGATCGTGAGTACAAGTGCAATTGTTGGACTACATGGTATCCTGCGCGTGTATAGTTTACTCGGTGGTCTTGACGACTCCCCTGTACAGGTCGTGCCTGTTCCGCTACTCCGGGCGCCCCTTTGACCCCGATCTTAACCTCTCGGCTTTGATGACAACGTCATGCAAAATACTTGAAATCCCTGTAGCCAAGCCATGATCCTTTCGTGAGCAAGTATGGCATGGCCGCACGCATAAGCAGTAACTTATTAAGCAGCCCCTCGCACAAATGTGTCCGGTCGTACTGTGCCGAATAAAACATCCGTACAAGACGCCCCAAAAGCCAGGCGCGAATTTTACCGCGCGGATGCGCGCGTACGATTCACAAAATGCGCGTGTACAAGTGTATATAAATTTTCTTGGCGGAAAAGGACGAGGTGCGCCAGCGCATTGCGCAGGTGGGCATGATCGCCACAGTCGCACGCGACATGCAGGCTGGACTATTGCGTGGCTGCTTTGCAGTAACTGAAAGCACCGAAAGCCTACGTCGTAGCTTGCAAGACTGGGCTCGTGAAACGCCTGCTTTCTGTAGCGCAGCGCATACAGCACCTTGTTCCGACTAAAGTCAAGTTACACTCTTACGAAAATAATTATAACAAACGCACAATTAGGTAAAGATAAATAAAAATCGCAAAAGTCGTTCAGAACCTTGCAAGGGCGTTTTGTCAGGCATGTCGCCCTCGTGTATCTCCGCCGTCACGTTGTACAAGAACACTGCACGGGCATGGAGGGCGGGAGGGTGGATGTGAGGTTGGCGGGATGGCGGGGCGGAAGTGGAGGCATGCAGGGGCGGGGCGTGACAGATACGGACCCTGTGGCCACATGGCCGGGCAGCTGGAAAGCGGGCACGGGGGACGGCAGCTGGCGCAAGCGAGCAATGGGCAGCAAGGGCGCTCGCATAGCCCACACAGCAACTGGACACTTGACGCTTGACGGATAGGGTCCGACGATTTCAGCGCTAGCCTTCTGGACGTTGAGCAGTGCTGTTGTATTTGGGCACGGTCGCACTTAGGGCTTCATTCACGGTGCATACATGTCCGACCTTAACTCGTGTGAAAACGGCGGCTGCTGCCCATACGGACAGCAGCGCTTGGGATGGTCTATTGCGTGAGCGTTGGGGGAAAGGGGGGGGCCCGCTGCGCTCCTTTCTATGTCTGCTCGTCGCGTGCTCGGGTGCAACTTGGTAGCGTGCGAGTTCACCCATCATGTTGCCTGTTCTGGCATGGCCATCCACGCGCGGCAGGAAACTTGAATCTAGGCCTTATTCTTCGTTCCTACATCATAGCAAAGGACCGACGCAACGTGTACTGTACACGCGCTGTTGCTGTGGTGCTGTTCTTGTTCTTGTTGTTATTGCTGTTGTTCTTGTATACGCGCGCGACGACATGACTGCATGTACATTGCGACGTGCGCCAAACGCCCTGTAACCAGCTTCGACTAATCTCACATTCCATTATGCCACTGCACTTTCCTCTCCAGCCTGGCCCCAATCTGTTCCTCGCAAACGTACTTGGGCACTTTCCTATCCAACACTATACGGGCTTTAGAAACGCGGGCAGCTGCTTCACAAGGACCCTCCTATTTAGGTAAAAGCAATACGACTTCTGACTCGACGCAGTTCATGTTGCCTCTGCTATGCGAATTTCCTGTCTGGTACGGACAGATACAATTTATAAACTCTGCACTGGCTGTCAATGGGCATCTCTGGTTGTCCGAGGAGCGACGCAAAGGGAACCCTTTACACGCATTCCAAGCTCTCTGTTTTACTGGTAAACTAACCACCAGAGCCGGTTCATGCGACATCTTGTGCGGACGGACGGACGGAAGCAATGGCTCACAACCGCGACTCCGCAAGACTGTCTGGCAACACAAAATCCTGTAGACCTGGACTCCTGGAGAAACTTTATCGCAATCCACAATAATCTGCTGAGAAAAGGTAGCTCCACTACTTCCCTAGCTTTTAAGGCGACCAGGCTTAACATGTTTCTTGATAACATGTTATTCAATTAAACTCTAAAGACGACAGGCTTTAATATTTAAAATGCAACGTAGAAGGCATTCTGCAAGCCAGCAATCTTGCGTGTCAGGGGACTAACCTCTTGAGACTCTGCAGGTAGTACGCAAGGGCAAGGGCAACCAAGAACTAACAGTTTCTATTAGGGGAGGATTAGGTGATAAATGTTGGATACCGACAGTATAAGTTTGGTGGCCTACTTCCGCGTGTACGGAACCCAAAGCGAGCTTGACAGCTGTAACACCAGCCCATGGTTATTTCGAAGTGCCTGCCTCACCACGCCTTATCACGCTCTTCTTTATGATCCACAAGGGCAGGTGACAGCTTGTTGCCTCATACTGTACCTGAGGGCCTCCTCGCAGTCCCAGCGCAGCACTTTGGTCTGTAGTGTAGACCTGATGTTGGTTGGAGGCCACCTGCATTTTACCAGCCTACCGAGATTCACGGGACCATCGATTCTGCTGTGGAGTTGCGACGAGCTTGCGGTATGTGCAAAATATGCAAAATGGCCGCCACCTTGTAATCCCGTCAGTGTGATACGTTGCAAATGAAACCAATTATCTTTACGCAGGACTGTTGATGCTTCATGCAGAGCGGCGTGACATAGGTGCGAGGACATGTCGCCTGCCGAAGCCGACCATGCGAAGTCTTCAGGAATAATCTTAATTCCTAGAGGTTAGTTTCTTGGGTGTGCATTTGATCTGCAAAATCTTAGGAACTTCACAGGATTGTCCGACCTTTGCTCGCGCAACGGCCTGCCGCGGGGCCAAGAGCAAGCTCATGTTACTATCGAACGCATTCTTGCGTTCTGCGTCCACATTCCGTGGACACTAACAGCTAGGTAGTCGAACAGCTTCAACCGTTCCGAACACTAATCCGAAGTCCCGTTCGCCCCATTCCCGACAGGCATTGCCAAATCCAACAATTTGATCAAGCCCATCCCATAAGACCTTTCAACGACAAGATCTAAAGACACTCTGCAGCAAGAGCCCTTGCCTCTGGAACCTCCGCCGCCACCACAACCAGCGACCCACGTCATCATTATCGCTAGAAGGTGGTGAGTGGTTGCGACCTTTTTAAGTTAAAGTTAAATTATGACATGGTGCAAGTGGATAGTTGAGTGTTCGACCGAGGATTGGTTGACGTGCATGGGACGAAGAGCACCCATTTTCCGTACCTTAGGGTGTGTTCACATGTAGTCCAATTGAGAGTCTGATTGGGAGTCCGATTCGGGGCGGCTTTCTGAATTGTGTTCACATACGATTCGCGGCCACCGCGCGAGGTGCCACCGCGCCCAGCTGAAGCTCCGCGGCTATGCCCCATCACCCAAGGCAAGCCAGCATTATCTAGGAACAGAACAGTATAAGTATCGTTTCTATGGCGAAAATTATCACCAGGCTTGTACATACATAGCTGCAGGAGTTCGTGAAAAATGCTCGGTGCGCTTTGCGTGAATTAACAATTGGAAAATGTTCCTATTCCTTAGGTTAGCTGTGTTTGTCTATTTACATGTACAAGGCTTCCACTGAGTGATCAACTCTAATCAACCGTTTCTCCGCAACGGCCCGCATGGGATCGGTATAACGCATCTGGCTGGACTATCCAATATTGTCAATATTACATAATTAAATAAATATATGTGGACAACACAGAGATCTACTAAGATTAGTTTTATTTCTATCTGGTCTCGAATTGTTAACCCAATTACTTTTTAAATAAGATACGATCGGTTTTTTGCAATACAGAATTATCCCCTTATTATTTTTATTTTCTAAAACTATGAACATGTTTTTTTTTAGTGCAAAGAAGTTAATAAAAAGCTGAATTGTTACGGCGATTAGTAACCTTTGGTTAGGCCCGCCGGCCGGGCCGGGTACGACAGCCTTTGCGACCGGGCACCGGATCCACCGCAACTTTCCGACCGGAAAGGTGCTGCCCGACGCCTCGTCCCAGTGATAAATTATGACCATAGCTACCAGGCCGACGCGCGCGTGTTTGTGTATAATTGGGTTGACAAAAGGGTAACAAAAGCAATGATGAGAAGTTCTGTCTGTGGCTCTAGTGCCGACGGGGCAAGTCTGTTGTGGGCGGCTGCAGCGCGGGGACTCGCGACGGTGGCTGGCAGCCCGAACGTCAGCAGGGTCCGATAAGGGCAGGCGGGTACATGAGCGATACAATGCGCGATGCCACCTCCTTTCGATGATTGTGCAAGACGCTTACTTGAGCTGTGGTCGTCTTCCCCACCATACACCCCCCGGCACCAAGTCTAACTACAGACAAGTTGCGAAATGAAAACGCAACGGTCTGGCCTCAGGTATCGTTACCCGACGTCGTTGTCAGGCGATGATGCGTCTTGACAATACAGACCGTGATGTGACGTATGGGAATGAAAGTTCAGGCGAGGCCCTACTCCACACATCCACCCCTGGACCCGCGTTACGCCGGATTTCTCGCCACCCCACTCCCCTACGCCACCCCCCCCCCCTTTACCTAATTTCCCCTTCGGTAACACTTCGGTGTCCCGAATACTTAAAATTAAAAAATTTTATAAGCTTTTCTCTCTTGACTAAGCATTTTATTTTGTTCGAAAATCTTTTTTTCGCTCTTGGTTAACGAAAAC